CTTTGTGGATTCTTGCTGCTTTTGGCCCCGTGGGATAACGTCCACAGACAGGAGAGGGCTGGGAGCATCATTGTGCAATGTACTGACTACCTGCAGAACAGATCTCTATTGTTTGGTGCAGCTGCTGGCTGTTAAGGTAGGTTTGGAGAGTTGAGTGAGGAGACGACATGTAGTGATGCATTCATAATTATGTCTGTGATGCAAGATCTTGTCCAACATTGTTAAATCTTTTATTGTGTAGGACCAGAATTCACCTTCTTCTGGGTTTAATCAGTTAAAGCTAATAGAGTAATAAAATGGGTGGTGGTGGTGGAATTGAGACTGGAGATAAGGGGAAGGGAAAAGGAGAAATAGCTTGTTGGCTAAGAAGCTGAGTTTGGGCATTTGTCAGGTTGTTAACTTATTGACCTGAGAGAATTTAGGGAAGGCTATGGTGTGATATGAATGCATCAAAAGAGAAATGTGAGATTCTATTAGAGTTAGCAACCTTTCCATGTCTGTAGTCACTAATTGCTAGTATGCGTGTTATTCCCTGGGAGTTGCGACAGAGCATATATTTATCGGTGCTTCCTGTTTGTTCAGTTTCTCCTTACCAGTGTTGTCACTAGGGTTGGTGTCATCACCGTGCAGCAACTCATGCTGTCACCCCCAGGCTGCCTGGCACACCCTCCAGCTACCCTGTTCCACCAGACATGGTGGGGTGCAGTGCTGCTACTGCCTGACAGTCCCTTCCATGTCTGGCTGGGCTCCTGGAATGGAAGGAGAGGATCACCAGGTGGGAAAAGGAGAAGAAAATTATCTTTCTTTCCTGACCAGTCAGAAGCCCCACCAGACGCAGAAGGAGCTACCACTGCTGCCCATCAGCAACTGCTGGTGGGGTGGGATGCTGCTGCTGACCACCAAACTTTTCTGGGTCTGGTGAGTCTTCTGGCTGGGCAGGAGAGGCAGGAGTGGTGGCAGGGGTGGCCATGGAATCCTCTCCTTCTCCTTGTACCAAATTGCTGTTGCCATTGGTGCCAGCCCCTCCCTATCTTGGCCTAGCTAGTAGTCCTGTTAGACCCAGAAAAAAGGAGATGCACAGATACAGGATGGGGAACACCTGCATTGACAACAGTACATGTGAAAGGGATCTAGGAGTCCTAGTAGACCACAAGTTGAACATGAGTCAACAGTCGGACTTGGCAGCTAAAAGGCCAATGGGATTCTAGGCTGCATGAATAGGAGTATAGTGTCTAGACTGAGAGAAATAATAATACCACTCTATTCTGCTTTGGTCAGACCTCATATGGAATACTGTGACCAGTTCTGGGCATCACAGTTTGAAAAGGGTGTTGAGAAGCTGGTGTGTCCATTGGAGGGCAACCAAAATGGTGAAGAGTCTGGAAACCATGCCTTATGATGAGAGACGTAGGGGGGTTGCAGACTGCCAGAAATAGTGTGAATTCAGTCCACTTTTAGGGTTAGGGTTAGTGCTAGGGAATCATGAGAACTGTTATTTTCCTGAGACATTGAGCCTTCTCTGTTAGACAACTCTGGTGCCACAATAAAATACAGTTCCCATGGTTCCCTAACTCTAACCCTAACCCTAAAAGTGGACTGAATTCACACTATTTCTGGCAGTCTGCAACCCCCCTGGGAGCTGGGTATGTTCAGCCTGGAGAAGAGAAGGTTAGTAGGTGAGATGTAAGCCCTGTTTAAACTTTTGAAGGGATGCCATATTGAGGAGGGAGCAAGCTTCTTTTCCTCCACTCCAGAGAATAGGGCTGGTGCAATGGATTCAAAGTACAGGGAAAAAATCCACTTCAACATTAGGAAGAACTTCTTGATGGTAAGAGCTGTTCAACAGTGGAACACACTCCCTTAGAGGGAGGTGGAGTCTCCATTTTTGGAGGTTTTTAAACAGGCTGGATGGCCATCTGTCAGTATGCTTTGATTATGGATTCCTGCATGGCAGGGGGTTGGACTGGATGATCCTTGAGGTATCTTCCAACTCTGTGGACGTTATCACACTGGCCCTAAAGCAGCGTCATTTCAGCC